CCGGGGCGCGCATGCCCGGGGGGCGGGCGCCCCGGGGGGGGGCCCCCCCCCCCCCCCCCCGTGTCCTCTTGGGAACCCCCGGTCTCCCCTTGGGAGGGGCCCTCTGACCTCACTGCCCCCCTCCCCCCCCCACCCCCGAGAGGGAGGGAGGGAGGGAGAGAACGCGCCCCGGCCACCGATGAGCCACGAAGCAGACGAAGCACGTCCGAGTTGGGGCACCAGGGCCAAAGGGGGCACCAGGGCCAAGTTGGGGGAAAGGGTGAACAGCTTAGTTTGTACAGTATACTGTGTTACCATCACATGAATACATTTTTGTATTGCTGCCACCTGCAGGTCAACCACTAAAATGGACTGGGGGGTCAGTGGGGAAAGGAGGGAGGGAGGGGGCACCAAGATGGCCCAGTGCTGAGGGCACCAGGGAGCCTTCATCCGCCCCTGTCTCCCTGTCTCCCCCCCCCATGTTCTAGGCCAGTGTGAGAGGATGAACCGGCCAGGAGTGAGGGTGAAAGAGGAGAGCGCCAAGGTTGGCTTGTAACTCAGCATCAGAAAAAACTAGGACGCTGGCATCCGGCCCCATCACTCCTTGGCAAACAGAAGGGGAAGCTGTGGAAGCAGTGACAGGGACCCAAGATCACCGCAGACTGTGACAGCAGCCATGAAATTAAAAGACGCCTGCTCCTTGGGAGGAAAGCGATGGCGCACCTAAACAGCATGATAAAAAGTAGAGACATCACCCCGCCAACAAAAGTCGACATGGCCAAAGCAATGGTATTCCCAGTAGTCATGTATGGCTGCGAGAGTTGGACTATAAGGAAGGCCGAGCGCCAAAGAATAGATTCTTTTGAACGATGGTGCTGGAGAAGACTCTTGAGAGTCCCTTGGACTGCCAGGAGATCAAATCAGTCAATCCTCAAAGAAATCAACCCTGACTGTTCCCTGGAAGGCCAGATAATGGAACTGAAGCGCAAATACTTTGGCCACCAGATGAGAAGGGAGCACTCACTGGAGAAGAAGACCCTGATGCTGGGAAAGACTGAAGGTCAAAGAAGAAGGGGACGGCAAAGGAGGAGATGGTTAGACAGTGTTATTGAGTCTTAGCTCAAGAAAGATGGGGCTCCAGAGTAAACTAATGTATGCAGTAGCCAAATCACTCGCTCACAACTTTAATGCCAGTCATTCACAAAGTAGAATTTCTGCTCACAAGGAGACTACACAGCTTAGAGGGAGCCTTGGTCCTAACAGTTGAAACACTGGGGTGGATTCTAGGGTGGAAGGCATTTCACCAGATGGTGCTCACTCCATTAGACCACACACTGAATAACACTGATCCCACATGAGGACTGTGCGCATGGGTGCGCCTTTGATTCCACCTTTCTTATTTTATTTATTTATTTAGGCATTTTTACCCCGCCTTCCCCGCGAGCGGGCTCTGGACGGCTTACAAGGGGCATAAGCCCATACATAAAACCATATGTCTTTTTGGATTTTATGTATGGGCTTTCGCCCCACTTGTAAGCCGCCCTGAGCCCGCTTGCGGGGAGGGCGGGGTAAAAATACCTAAATAAATAAATAATATAAATATAAAACAATAAAATCATGATAACAATAATAGAGTGCTTTCTGTAAACAAGATGGTCTTTGAGTGGTTTTGATGGCATCAGTCATTTCCTTAGATCCTTCCCTTGGGGTGATACTGTCCAGTAGATAGTTCAATTCATGGCGGAAGTTCCAAGGGCGGTTCCTAATCCCAATGTTATTGCCACCATTGGTGGCGGCGGCCCCTATGTGAAAGCCTGGCAGAAGAGCTCCGTCTTGCAGGGCCTGTGGAACTGCATACGGTCCCACAGGGCCCTGATTTCCTCCGGGAGCTCATTCCCCAAGGTAGGGGCCGCCACTGAGAAGGATCTGGCCTTGGTCGCAGCAAGCTTTGCCTCCCGGGGGCCTGGAGTCACCAGGCGGTGTTGGGTCCCCGACCGAAGTGCTCGTGGAGGTATATGTGGGGAAAGGCGGTCCTCCAGGTAAGTCGGAAGGAGAGACATGGGGAAATGGATTTTCAGTTTTTTGTCATCGAGAAAATACATATGCACTGTCCTACTATACTTGGTTAGAATAATGTATCGTTATTTGAAGACGCTGAGTGGATTTTTACAGATATCACTCGTGACGTGAAGAAGTGTGCCTACACACAAAAGCTCATGCCATGATTAAAAACGGTGGGTCTTAAAGCTGCCACTGGACTCAGACTTCGTTCTCTCTCTCCAGTTGTAATTCCAATTTAATGTTACTTGTTTCTTGTGGATCGGTCCAGTTATAAAGCACATCCCTCCCCCTATGCAATGGGTATAAAAAAGCACTCTAAACTGGGGAGCAATTGAAGGAAATGGGATCGTCTCCCCCCGCCCCAGTCCCCCTTTTCAGTGGTACATTTCCAACTCTTCTTCCCCCCCCATCCCCGGGCTCTATGGGGCACACCCAATCTTGCCCCAAGCAGGCCGCTGCTTCTCCTCTGCCACCCCCCCTCCCAAACCTATCAAATGAACACGCAAATCCTCGGGTACCAAGACATCAAACCCAAGACGTTTATTAAATTTTTCAGTTCATACAAAACAGGTGCCCCGCTCGCCCCCCCCCCGGCCCTCCCCCA